TTTTAATAAAAAAAAACAATATACCACATTAATATTTTTCAAAACAAAGTAAAATAGCTACTTCACTGAACCGCTAAAGAACTATTTATATAATTAATAAATTGCGCACTATTTATTGAAATAAAAAATTGATGAACCACAAATAAAATATGAAAAATACCTGCAAATCAGAAGAACAACATAACTCTACTACACTATACACTACATCACAGTAGTTAAAATGTGAGAGAACAAGTGACTCACATAATTTTGTCCTTAGCGTAAAATTTAAAATATTCCTGTTACTATATAAGATTTTTAGTGAGAAATATGAATTTTGAAAGACGTTTTTTAAATATTCAAGAAAGCCGATCTGCGTATTCAAAAATTGGTGCTTCGATATGTAGATCAGTAGACCAATAATTGTTTGTAGTACTTTTTCTTAACTACCCCATTAAAATATCCAAACCAAGGAACTTCTTTATTTCGACCCATCATTTCCCAAAAATGCATTTATATTTATATCACTATCATTTTCGGACCAGTGCGTATTGATTTCGTTTTCAAACTCTGTACCATCGGAATCACTTACAATAGGTAAAACCTTTCTTTTAGTACAGATTACAATGTCTGAATCATCGCTCTCATCTGTGTCATCAGCATAAAACTCATTAGTCTCATTGCAAATATTATTCCATTCAAAATCGTCTTCTTTCATTATAAAGCAGGTTATATAATAAATTAATCTATATTTATTTAAAAACTGATAAAAAAAAACACTTAAAATAAATCGACTGTTTGATGGCACAAACAAAGTTATCCTGTCAAAAACGTACTACTACGTCAGCGGCTACTGGATTTTAAATAAAAAATGACGTATTATTACGTCGGCGCCTACTGGATTTCGAAGAAAAAATAATGTATTACTACGTCAGCGGCCGTAATGAGTTAAGGTGTTTTCTAATTGCATATCAATAATTAATAGAGCGATTTTTGTATCCATTTTTAAAAGAAAATTTCATGTGTCTTAAACGTCTTCACTTTTGAGATACAGGGTGGCAAATGTTTCAAAAATAAAATATATATTTTTTAATACAGTGAAAACTCCATATAGCGGAGCTCTGTATTATGAACAAAATTTGTTGGACTATTAAGTCTCCACAAAAAGCTGCACACTCTATACCGAAAGAAAGACTTGTAATTAATAGAGTCTCTCATCTTCTCAAAATTCCTTACCCTAATATTCTAATTACCCAGAACCTGGTCGTCCTAAGTGTTTTTCTCGTAATAAGCGATTATGTTAATGTCTTTATCGGTCGACTTTACAACGTCGACTGTATCTACGACTTGGAACTGCAAAGGAAAAATCATTCAGGCTGAAACGGCAGGCAGTCCTAGTAAAAAACTAAGAAAGCCGACAGTGGTTCCAACAGCAACGTCTGAAAAAGGTGCCATTCTCTGAACCTATCGTAAAACTAAAAGAAAGAAAAGTTTGTTCAAAAGCTCGGCCTTATCGATTTCAAGGCTTCGGAAGGACGGTGGGGGAAGTTCAAACAGATACATAGTATAATTTATGGACAGATAAGTGGCGAAGCCTGCGATGTCGACTGAAACGTCACTAACGATTGGCTGGAGAAGACGTGGCCAAAACTAGCAGAAAAGTACCCTGCTGACGACATTTTTAATGCTGACAAACCTGGTATATGATGCCAGATAAAACTTAACTTTCGAAGCGAAAAGTGTGTGGGTGGAAAACCTTCGAAAGAACGTATATCGTATATGAGTGGGACAGGAAAAAGAAAGCTAGTCGCGATTGGAAAATCAACTAACCCACGATGTTTTAAGCACATCAAGCATTTACCGGTCACTTACAAGGCAAACAAGAAGAGGAGATACCAAAATGGGATGCAGTGTTAAAGGCGAGGAAAATATTACTTCTATTAGATAACTGGCCTGCACATCCCCGTATTCCAAATCTACGGTGGATCAGAGCATAATAAAAAATCTTAAGAGTCGATACAGGAAAAACATTTTAATAGAAATGATCGAGTCCAAAGATAATTTTTCCATTAATGTGCTAGATGCAGTCAACTTTATTAGTAAAGCTTGGAAAGAGGTGATAGGAGAGACGATTCAACATTCCTATCGTCGTGCAGGACTTATTACCGAGACAGAATGCGAACAGGACTTGGAAGATGATCAGCCACTAAGCGAATGGATAAAGCAGTGTCAAACAACAATTACGTTTACAGGTGAAGAAGTTGTAGACTTGCAAGAAAGGGCGAGGAAGAGCACCAAGAGGAAGAAGAAGATGAAGAAGTTGATCTGGGACCACCACCAATGGGGAAGATGTCCCTCTCGAAGAAATGGTAAAAATACAAGCCAAAGTACAAGATGCGTATTGGAATACTAAAAAAATGTAGTTCTTAAATATTTATATAAAGTGATTCAAGTGTTTCGACTGTATATAAAAGCTTCGTACTTGTGCCAATTTGCTAAAAACGAATGGACTAAAATATGTGTCTTATATCATTGTAATCGGAATAAGATAATCCATTAAGCACTTGTAACATACACGATGTTCTGTTTTAAAAAAATATGACGTGAGGTTATATGTCGGAAAATCGATAGTTGAACCGAGGTGGCTTTTACTTGATGAAACTCCATTTATCAAAATAAATAAGAACCAAAAGTTCAGATTTTCACGGAATTATATATTTTTACATGACAATTGTTTCGACAACACCGCGTTTTTATCAAATGTGATAAAGACAAGGCGTTGTCGAGACAATTGTCATGTAAAAATACATAATTTCGTGAAAATCTGAGATTTTAGTTCTTATTTATTTTGAAAATTGCTAATGTTTGGTTTTATACGTCACTAATCTTCCATTTTGTTTTTTTTTTGTTTACCTCGATATCTCTGAAAACAAAAATGTTACAGCTGATTAAAATGTTCTCAAGATAAACTGCGTAGATTCAGTTATTTCAAGTCTTTTAGACATGTTTATAGTATGTTTTGTTGTACGCCGCCAGAGGCGGCGCCTTTCGCGGTTAATTGAGTATAAAAAAGCAATTAAAGTCTTGCGGGGTTTACGATTCAGCCCCCGTATTAAGAGGTCGCTGGTCGTAAAGTCGATCCTTTTGACGATTTGTTTATAATATGCGGCGACAAAACATTCCGCTCGAACAAGTCATTCGCCGGCGTAAATAAACGTATACGGGGGACTACTCATAAATTCGCAGAAAACGTAAGAACCTCTTTACACGGTGAAGGACACTTTCAACAACTTACTTAGTTTCTATGTATTTTTTTTACAAAAAGGTTATTAATTTACACACAACTTTGTAAAAAATTATTAACAGAAGGCAGTTTTTTTTTTTAAATAAGAATCGTTCATCATTTAGTTGCAAAATTAAAAGAAAACAGGACACTAGTTCGCAACTAAACACTAGGTATTTATATTTTTGGCAAAAAAGTTCTCGATTTAACCAGTGTAGTGTTGGCGTAATTACCAAAATATTATCAGTTCATGGACATTCAGTAGCACGCCGCGGATTTCATTAAAAAAATTAATGACATTTGTATTCATTTCTGAGCAGATTTGATCTCTCTGTTTTTTTTTTCACCGTATAATACGAGGGCAGCGCCAAAATTTCCCGGCCTGAATATGAAAGAAACAAAGTAGAGTAACAATTTTTTATTATTTTTACATCTCTTTATTAACAACTCAATCCCTTTAAACTTCGTCGTTAAACCGCCGTCCACGTAAGTCCCTCAAATATCCAAACAAATAACAGTCGCTGGGGCCCATATCTGGACTATAGTGAGGATGATCTATCTGTTGGAACCCACACTCTAAAATGGCAGCTTGTGCAACACCAGCAGTATGGACAGGTGCATTATCGTGCTCAGTTTTCCTCGACGTTTTACGCGTAATATTTACCATCGACAGTGGTATTAGTTTGTTTAAAATCTATCAAAAGAATTCCTTCACAATCCCAAAAGATCGTGGCCATCACCGTTTTCGTTGACTGGCAGACTCTGAACTTTCTTGGAGGTGCTTCACCCTTACGACGCCACTTTTTTCGATAGAGGGTCATAATAGAGAACCATAGTTTCACCTCCCGTCACAATAGTTTCTATCACAGTCTTCGGTTCCCGACCCACAGAGTTCCAAAAACGACCGCGTACACTCGACACGGCGTTGTTTTCGAATAGCCGAAAGGTTTTTAGGAACTCATCTGCACGAACCTTATGCATACCTAAATGATCATGCGGGATTCGACGAACACTTGTATCAGAAAGCTTAGTAATTTCTGAGATTTCCTCGACCTTTAAACGTCGATCACTTAATAACATTTTTTCCACAATCGCGACAATATCTTCCGTTATGACCTCCGCTGGTCGACCAGTTCTTGAATCATCTTCAAGGGACTCCTGCCCCATTCGAAAAAGTTTTGCCCATTTTTTCACTACAGAATGCGAAGGAGAACTTTGCCCGTACACACCATCCGGCCTATCTTTAATAATTTTATATGCTAACCATTCTTTTGTCAAAAACTTTATGACTACTCTATACTCAATTTGCGTTATTTGCGACATTTTTTCGGACACGTCTTGTTTAAAATGCTGTCAGTAAAAAACTATTTGACATAAGACTTAATTTTTTTTTCTAAGCACAACTCTTTGGTGACGACTCAATCCAGCCGTATACGGCAATTATTTAACTTATTCAACAACAAATTCATATCAAGTCTGGTGCTTCTTGAACCTTTTTTTTACTTAGATGTTTCGTGTGCGATATCTAGCACCCCAAAGTTAATTTCAATGAGCGTTAAACCTACTGGAGTTTACGAAAACCAACGTTTTACATTAAAAAAAAATACATGCAGAAATTGCATCGTATCTACTGGGCTCGAAGAACAAAAACGCTGAAATAATTGCCGAATTACGCGTTTAGGACATACGAATATGAAGTTGTCTGTTTAAAATTTCAATCAGCTTTCAATTAACTTACCGTGGCGTTGGAACCGATCGAGCTCGATCTGTGGTCGCCAGCGTTCGCAATCTTGTTCTCCGGGGGTCCGTCGCCGTTCTTCACGCTGATCTCGAGGTAGCAGTGCGACTCCAGGTGACTCTGGGCCCGTTTCTCTTCGTTGACTATCCGCCTCGCAGCGCGGAATATCTTATAGTACACCACGATCATCACAGTCAGCGGAATGTAAAAACTGAACATGGTCGCGTATAACTGGTAACCGATGTCCTGGGATACTAAACACACGTCCTTGATGATTTCGCCGCTTTCCTCCGTCTGCGTGTGCTCGTTACCGATGATGAGCAGCGGAGGCAGCGAGGTCATGGCCGCTAAACACCACACTAACACGATCCACAAGGTCATACGGCGCGGAGTCCTTTTCACCCCGTACTCAAGGGGTTTGGTGATCGCGAAGTAACGATCCACCGATATCATGCACAGGTTCAGGATAGACGAAGTGCAGCTGAGAACGTCGAGGCTCACCTGGGGAGACAACGAAAACACGCACTATACGAACAATAATAATAATAATAATTGAACTGAGGCGGCTTTTACTTGATTAAAATCCATTTATCCTCCTCTTTCCTCTTCATTTCGAGCATATTATAGTGAAAACCAGCATTTTCATAACTTACAGGACTGAAATCTACATTAAAGCAGCAGATAAGTACTTAAAAACCCACTTTCCCGGAACGACGAAGAAGATTTGGAACAGATTAACTTACCCATAGGTTGCAGGCGATCTCGCCGAATATCCACCTGCCCTCTATCTCGTAGATGAGGGCCATCGGCATGACCAGCGTCGCGACGCACAGATCGCTCACCGCCAGACTGACCAGCAGATAATTACAGGGCCGTCTCAGCTTACGGACGAGAAAGATGCAGACACAGACCAGGACGTTTCCTACGACGGTGGTGACGATGATGCCGCCCAAAATGATGCACATGGCGATGCTCTCCGCCAAATTATACCCGATTTTCGTGTACACTCTAGAGTAGTTGTAAGAAGAATCGCTTGGAAGAAGTGCCGAAGATATGTTGGTCTCCATACGAGATTGAAAGGGGCGGGGTGCGCACTACGGTATGCGGCGCGGCGACTTTTTAATCGTCCGTGGCTGCCATCTTCGCACCGTCGGCTATGTCCTTTTGGCCAGTCGGCATCAGCTCTCCACGGCCATTTCGCGTGGATCTGGAACAAAACGCAACAGTCAGTATTTTTTTTTCCAGATTCGAATGCTAAACTGGTCTTTGCTAGACGCCGAGATACTCCAAAGGGGTGTACTTCATATAAAAGAAATAACATTCGCGAATTTTCCAAAATCAAGGACAGTGTCCACAATAATAATAAACAAAAACCCAAACGTGTAGTGTTAGTTGTGGCTTTTACTAGATATTAATAAATACCATATTATTTATATACCAATTCCGAATATATGAAGCGTTACTGTCTTTTTTTTGTTTTTGAAAGAAACTTCCTGCTGAAATACTATTTGCGAATCTTCTGTTGACTTCTTCAGAGCAGAATCTGGAACCGAACCTTCTCTTATTGATGCTTGCCTGGAGAACAGCTATGGAACCTCCGTCATCATCAGTCATCGCGAATATACCAAATCAAGACTTTGAGCGCAACGCTTCCATCTAAAACCAAATTTCGTCATTTGGTCGTCATGGTCTCATGGTAAAAAATGCTTCAGGGATTTTCTTAGCAATTTGAACTCTATCACCCTAACACACGCTCTAATCTCATATTCATAGATATTCCTATAAATAGAAAATCAGACCTAACATTAGGTCACGCCACAATCATCGGTTATCAACTTTCTTGTTAAGAAAGTCTAAAACTCAGCCAACGATTAAAACACTTCTTCTCTCCATAATGATTTCCACATTACAGTCCAAAAGCAGCCATACATGGTTTTCCTTCTTCACAATGAAAACGTGACTGACAAATAAACTCACCAGAGGTTGCCCAACAAAATTCTTGGATGTAATTCACGACGAGACAATGCGTGAGTATCCGCATACTGGAAAAAAGGCTGCAAACCGGCATTGAAGAAATATGGAGCGAGATCCTAGACTTCCTGGATCAGATACAGGAACACGCGATGGTAATAAAATAATGGAGTTACAGCAGCAACTTGAAAGATGGAAAGAGTACGTGCAAGAACTGTTTGACGGTGACAGGGCCCTATCCATCCGCACCTGACAGCACACTAACAGGACCCATGTTGATATTTTAGTGGACAAGCTTTGTTCATATGGTATTAGAGGTACCGCCTTAAATTGGTTAAGGTCTTTTCTTGGGGGTCGTACGCAGTTGGTCAAATTGAGAGATACTTTAGGATTTGAATACGTCTCTGATTCCAGGTCAGTGAATCGTGGTGTACCTCAGGGAAGTGTACTCGATCCTTTATTGTTTATACTGTTTATAAATGATGTATTTTCATCTTTCCCCCATACTTACTTTTCCCTTTTTGCGGACGATGCAGTTTCTACCCTTTCTGCAGCATCGTCTGAGCCACTTAGCATTGAGCAAATGAAACATTATGCAGAAATTAACAAATTGACATTGTGCCACATATGTAAAAAGTAACTCTAATCTTTATATGCCCTCAAGAAACTCAGATATTCAGTACAGTTTAAGACTGAATCTTAACATAAAAATACCTACACGTCGACTGTCTCTTAGAGCAAATAGTCCCTTTGTTTAGATTGTAAAAATTTATAATAAATTGCCTATCGAACTGAAGGAGATAACTAGTCAAACATATATATTTGTTATTTATCAATCAGTATTGCTTATTATTATTATTATTAATTAACTAATTATACTAAGATAATTTTATACTTTTACATTATGCTGACAACATCCAACACTTGTAAATCAAGTCTTATGGAAATAAAGCTATCTTTATCTTTATCTTCATAAATGAAAAAGAAGAAGTACTACATGCTGTAGAGCAACATTTGTTATGCTACTTAAAAAGTGCTGGACAACGAAGTAGGAGGACTACAGTTCCAGAATCTACAAGAAGCTGGAAGAAGACGAGCCCGAAGGATTTGCGAACCGGAGAACCTCCAGATGGAACTTGAACACCTAAAAACTGCGTTCGAGGCAAATGGCTACAGTAAGAGGGAGATCGAGAGATCAATGAACTCAAGATCATCAAGATCACGGGATATCGAACAACGACCCTCCACCTCCCACGCATATCTGCCGTATATTCCGAGTGTCACCGACAGGATTGGCAGAGTATTGAAAAGACACGACATCAAAATAATCTTTAAGCCTACAAAGAAGATCCAGCAGACCATCAGGTCAGCGAAGGACAAGAGGGGCTCACTTTCAGCTGCGGAAGTCTACCGCATTCCGTGTTCATGCGGAAAGGTCTACATCGGAACTACCAAGAGATCAATGGGAACGAGACTTAAGGAGCATAAAGCAAGCTGCAGGCTAGGACATACAGAGAAGTCTGCAGTGGCTGAACACGCACTGGGCAGCGGGGAACACAGGATACACTTTGAGAGCTGTAGGTTACTAGCATCGGTCAAGGGCTATCACAACAGACTAGTCAGGGAAGCCATTGAGATTCAAAAACACCCACACAATTTCAACCGAAAGGAGGAGACCCTTAGACTCAACCAAATCTGGAACCCGATCCTTAGGAACGCCCGAGCAGTACCGATCGATATCCCGAGACCAACCGAAGCGGAACAAGCCCCGCCCTCCACCAATCGGCATAAATACAACCTGCGCAGGAGAAATCGTCAGTCTACGTCCAACATCGGAGATGGAAGGACCTCTGAAGAAGCTCGCCACTCGTGCTAGCGAAACGTTAGGAAGTAATTCCAATCGACGACGGCCTTTAAACCCGAATGAAGATAATAGCTTGCAATGTGTACGTTGGTTTTGAAAAGGTGTTTGATAGAACTCGGCACGGAAAATGCTTGCAATATTCAAAACAACGGGAATGGACGACAAGGACATCCAAATAATTGTAAACCTGTATTGGAACCGGTTTACATATGACGTCGAAAAGCAATAAAACATGTTTCTATCCAAGCTGCCACTCCCGAGACCCTTGACATTCGTCGGACAATACTAAGTCCTTGGAATACGGCTGAAACTATCAAATTAACAGTTCCCTCGCTTAAAAACATAGAGAAAAAATTATATTAATCAAATTTAAAATTAAAATTAAGATTTTTTTTTGATAACACTAGTTGACTGCTGTCACTGTCAAACGAGTTGATGTCTATCCCTTCCTTTCTTCTAAATTTTATGAAGAAACACTTTCTATGCTCCTCGCTCCTTGCTGGTTCTGTCTGAACTGCTGAGCTTAACTGTCTGATAACTTACTGGAACGACTTCTGCAGATTCAGGAATGAGTTTTTGACAAAATTCGAGCTTCCTGTTTCTTGTTTTTGAAATAACCGAAATTTTTTTACTGCCTTTTTTTTTTAAACTACGCAGCCAATTAAGCAAACGTTATTTCTGGTCTCTCTCCCGAGTGAAATACGTAAATATCCGCCACTGAGAGGAAACTTGACGTTTGTTTACAGTGTTGCCGCTCGTGCCAAACCTCGCACATATGGCTAACATATTTTTTACGGATCTGTGGTGGACGCAATTTGCTTAAAAGTGACAAGCCAGTTTACCGTTCGCGATGGGATAAAAATAACATTTGGTAGAGTTGTTTATGTAGTACCGACGAAACTGGAATTAGACTGTAAAATTTTGAACTTGCCCGGCCCGCGCAACGTTGCCGTTATTTACATATTTTCATTTACATGTAAACATTCGTTACGTTATACAATTTTTGAAAGCTTGATTTTAGGGACTTAGATAACTACAATACTTCCAAATATTAATAACACAGGTCTACAGTGTGTATATTTTTGGGGGATTTTTTGCAACAAGAGATAGACAGTGGTCTCAAATAGAATGGACGTCTAGAACACGCCTTACACCTGATCACAAAAACGCCCAGTTGACCCTAAAAAAGTTTTACTGCCTCTTCTTCATGTCAAGCTTGGCTTGTTAAAGCAGTTTGTTAAAGCCCTAAACAAAAATGGACAGTGTTGCAAGTAGTATTTGTGCAAGAAAGACAAGGATTTTCAACAAACAATGACTAATATAATTGACAAGTTTCTTGTGAACTCTAAGGGTGATAACTACGACATGAGTTTCAAAGGGCATTTCCTGTTTCCACGCTTGAACTATTTTACTAAAAGTCTTGGAGCAATTAGCGAAACAGCTTTCTGGCAAAAAGACGAAGATTTCACTCAAACAAGTCTGAGTAAAACTATATTTTTCACTTTTTTAAAGTAGGATTCCACTTTTTTACTGAATAAAAAAAAAATTATTTAGATATATCTTTTTTTTTCTTTGATATTTGCTATATTGTTATAAATAAATGCATAGAATTTTTGAAAGCAACCTACGAAAATTATATACAATCAGTTTTCAAAATAAAAACATCTGCCAAAAAGTTTAATTTTGTATAGACCTACGTAATTAGATATTATGAATTTTTAAAGACTAATTTACTATTCTGATAATCTATACTGAAATCACTAGAATCACTAAAGTTCTCGCCAATATCACTATTAAGTAGTCAATTAGTCTTTCTGTACGTGTAATGGAATTTCATATAATAAAAATTATATAATATATCAGTTACACTATTTTTTATAATAAATAAATGTGTAAGTGTATTGTACGATATTGTTTACAGGGGTTATAAAATATTTTGTAATTGCTACAAAAGAAATTATAAAAAAATTGATTAAAATCGAAAAATACCAAAAATTCATGTTTTTTTTAATTAATGATTTTTGAGTTTTTTTAAACAAAAATCAAAGTTTACCCAACAACCGGAAACGAAAATAATAGACAAAAAATCGACATTGCTACAGAAATGATCAGCGTCGAAAAAATTTTTTTTTGTCTGTCCGTTCTCTGTTCTCGTCTTTTGGTTTTTCCTGAATAACTTTTGAACCGTTGTAGCTACAAAATTAAAATTTGCCTCGTTTTTAACCCTCCACGAGACACATATGGTTATAAGAAATGGCCCCGATTCGAAGATTCATCTTTTTTTCGCGATTTTTGACTGTTTTTTGGACATTGCTATGAAACACGATAAGTGTCCGAAATTTGAAGCAATCGACTTCATATTTGGCACATAT